TGCATTTTTTTGCAATAAAAATGGGTATCAAACGGGACTCTTAATATTTATTGCTGACAATGGTCGACGATCCATGGTCACCCGTGCTGACTCGAAATCCTGGATCCGCCACTGTCCAGAGCATTTCCAATGCAACATGAATTGCTATTTATAGGGCTGGATATGGTCCAGTTCGGTTCTGAAGAGAACCGAAATTTTTGGATATTTAGTAAGTGAAACTGTCGGGTCCAAATTTAATTATGAAACCGTTCGGGTTCGGTTCAATTCGGTTCAGTTCTATTCGGTCCCCGAGTTCCGTACAACAATTAATTTTTTAATATTTACAAAAACGCTACATTAATTCGACTATGACATGTTCAATTTTAACTCTTACAAAATAACGTAGTCTCATCTGGTGATATCTTTTACACATTTCTTTGTTGAATTCTTCATAGATTTGACTGGTAAAATAGTAAGAAGAGGAAGATAATGAATTCACAATAATATAACATCAGAAACGACACTATGGTAGAATAAGAGATTTAGATAAAATTTAGGTCAATTTGATTAAATTATGCTTAACTGAAAATTGAAAATAGTAAAATCATATTTTATGTTTGAGTTAAATTAATTAGTTAGCAAATTCATTTAGGAAAAAAATAAAATTTGACTTATTTAAGATAAAAAAATTAGGGAGATTCGATTCTTATTCGGTTAACCGAAAATCGAACAAAACTCGTCGATTCTTGATTTAAATATCCATTCGGTTATTTAATTTAAGAAGAACCGCTCGATTCGATTTAATTCGATTTGGGTCCGGTCCGATTTGGTTTGGGAGTTTTGTCCCGCCCTAGCTATTTAGGTGATAATTAAATTGAAAGGCTTCTAGTATATTCGTCGTTGATGTCTATTGAATAAACATTCTTTAAATGGATTATTCTCCTTTACCAGAGCCACGTAGCCCTGGTATTGTAGCATAGACCTCTTTAAATTTCATCTCCTATAAGTTCAATCAATAATTCAAAAGGATTTTGTGTTATATCAACTCTAAAATAAAATAAATAAAATTGGAAGAAAAAAAATTAATTGTATGCGTGAAAATCACGAAATATGAGAGAGTAAGAAAGATAAAATTAATTTTGTGTATGAAATCCAAGAATAAGGAGAAAGAGAGAAAAATAAAGTTTTACATTTTGATGACTCATTCCTGGTAATAGAGCTTCAACATTAGTTGAACTTAGACCTGTTTGATTGCCACATTTTTCATGAAAAATGTCACATTCGAGGAAATCGAATTTCACTTTGACCGTTTGATTGCAACGTAGAAATAGAAACGGAATTTCAAGATACAACCACTTTAAACTGTATTTTCTTTATTTTCGTGGAAAACGAATTCCTATGGATTTCATTTCTACATTTGTCTATCAAACGGACCCTTATTGATAATGACTATATTTTCTT